GGAAAGATGTTTTTTTTTTCTATATTAATTTTATGCCACAGCCACTTGTTTCATTTATGAATTTTTGACCCATTATAGTATAATAATAACACATATTCCTTGTTTTGTCTTACTGTAAAGATTGTTAATTTCATTTGTATATATTTTTTCTCACATTTTAGTTTATAAATCATATATTCCTTTCACCATTATCTTTCTTACTAAAACAATTTTGAAATATTATTTATTTGATAGAAGTCTTTTTAGTCAATTAGATTAAGCCCCAAAAGTGCATGATCCAATGTACTAATTAATAAATGAGGAAAATCATGTAAAATCTAATTCTTATAAGTAAGGTCTTTATTGGATAACAGGATAAGTATCAGAATTAGAATTTGGACTAAACTTAAGATTGTGAGGATAAGGCATATAATAATAACTACATGTCAATGCATTAATTTAGCATGTACTAACTCAAGAGTTTTGTCCCTTTGATTTCATAAGCTACAGCCAAAGTCTTTCTTTAATTTGTATGTATCAAAAACTTCATAATTTAAATCATGCACAGCACTCTGAATTTAAAGAGATTGACCATAAAAATACAAATGGCCATCATCATCTTTATCTAAACATCCATTTCATTTATTTCTATGATGTACAATACTAGTAAATAAAACTCATACTTGATGCAAAATGCAAAGATTTCGATGTGCAATGCTTGTAATGTTAAGTTAGGGTTACATATTGATAAAGTAGTTAGAAATTTTTTTTCAATCATTTCAGTCAAAATATGGCCATTCTTACCGAAGTATATGTGGATTTAAAATCCCTGAAACTCTCCTGGATTTTTAAAGATGTCATGTTGTAATAGTTATGCACTGCGTGTTAATTGCATGTATCCTTGGAGTTTCAGCAGCTGCTAACAAGAAATTATCAACCCAGATACTGCAGGTTTTTTTGATATGACATTATCAGTAAAAACGCAGAATCACATGTTTTATGACAAAATGCCGGTCTTAAAACAAAATAATGACTCCTATTTCACTGACAGCTTGGCTCACTAAATTACATGAAGCAGCTTGTCTCGAGTTCCTTTGCAAAAGAATATGTTTTTGTCTCCCTCCTTCGGCATGAGCAATATTCTTTATTGGAAAACGTCAAGGCCAAGGAGATGTGGTGAAACCTTATGTGAGGATGTGGGTTTTGAACCCCGAATTAACCTGATTTGTTTGAGATGGTCTCAGGGGATCCCATTTACAAAAGAGCTTTCCTGTACAACACATAAATCACCCTTTTACTCAATCTCTCTTGCCCCTACTGTTTTATATTAGCTTTTTTTTTCTTCCTTACTTGTCCTAAGATGACTTTCTGTCCTGTACAATTACTGATTATCAGGTGGATGGAGCTGGGTTTCAGGGGATTGGATGCTGTCTTTAAGTTATCCTGGAAGTTGGCCTTATTTCTGTCTGTCTTGTGATGTATACACAATGAGAGACATGTGTTATCATTTACAAACATTTTGAGTGGGATGACTTGAAACATCTTGTGTACTGCTTGATTACATTTGGATTAAAAGGTAATCTCTACTTGTGATGTGATATTCTTGAAGTTATGGAATTCTGTGTTTAATATGGAATATTTAATTCAAAGCATTTTTACATTGTGTACTCTAGCTGTAATTTTTGTACTGAACAATTAACCCATAGATGCATGCTAAAAAGATAAATGGGAAAGTATATGTACTAAGCAACAAACAAAAAATGTATTATGTTTTGTGGTGTCTATTATGTGGAAGTTCACTGACCATTCTCCTGGTATTCATACCTGGTCCAGTAATTATCTTACCACAGATTTGCTACTGCAACTGACAATGTGCACATAGTTACTATGTGCAGTTTTCTTGTTTTACAAGTTACTAAGGAAAAAGTAGTAATTTCCTATCCCATTCTGTAGCAAAGAGATACAGTTTACATGCTGTCTCTGATGTGAATAGCAGCATTTTTTTTTATTTTAGCTTGTTTACCTTTCTTTTTGAAGTATTGCATCTACCGGTATATGCAAGCCTGCTCAGGTATAACAGCAACAGACAAAATAGCAGACTCACCAACAGACATACTTCCTATTTGCCCATCTCCTAAAATGTTTTTATGTTTTTAGTAATTAAGAACAGCTGAAGAAGTTAGAAATAGAGCGAATCAACTAGTTGTTGATTAAACATATCAAGGCCTCTCTATTAAAGCAGATAACATGGTATAACATGCATGTCTGAGTGTTTTTTTTATGATATGCAGTATTCTGTTCTAGTGAATAATCTGTTAATGCCAGGGAGGAAAAAATTGGTTCCTCCTATCATTTCAAGTATATAAGTGTAATCTGTTACGAACTTAAAAGAATATCAAGTGGAATTTCTGCATGCATCATTCTGAGGGAATTTCTTTGTAAATATTTATTGATTCTTTATGAAATTCCAAGCCACATCTTAGTTTATAAGGCTGATCGAATTTTTATGCCATATTATTCTTAAGCTAATACAGAATTCATTTATAAATCAAGGAATGAAATAAAATATGTCCTTTTCTTTCTTTTGAATGTCTTGGTTGATCTATCAATTGTTTTTTTTATCTCTGACCCTGTCAAAATAACTGCTGGACTTAGCTATTTGTTCAGTGGTTAGGGGATGGTGTATCTTTGATGTATTTGAATATAATACAGTTGAACTTTGATATCTTGAAAATCAAATGCCATGGATTAGTTGTGAGTTGAAAGTCCTGACCACTTTTTTTAATGTATTTTAACCTTTAATAACTTCTTGAAGTTTTTCCTGGGCTTAAGCAAGTTTGAGGTAACAAGGTTTTAATACAGTGAAACTTGTCTAATCCAAATGTTGTGTAATCCCAAATCTTGTCTATTATATGATGTAAACTTTAGGAAATTTAAATGTTTTAAATGCATTATCTGGAATATTGCCTAATCTGGCCAATTTCTTTGGAACAAGTGATGTCAAGATTCAGTTACAGATTCAAGGGAGGTAGTCAATTCTGACAGAAAATTTACAGAATCTATTTGACATCAAATTTTTGTGACAGATTGGCTTTATATCAGGAGAGATCCCCTTATCCCCTCAAAGTTAAATTTTGTCCCTGCCTATGGCATTCCTCCTGTCTCCAGGGTTGCTTGAGATGCTGTACATGCACTTACTTTTTTCCAGGGGTCATAATTACATGGCATCACAAACTTCTTTCCAATCCACAGAAAACATATTACTAGTAAAATAAAATTTCTTTGACTGCCATTGTACTGTAAATCACTTTTTATTCGTGAGAATTTTATTTTTGTGTTATTACGCAAGACAGTGTGCTCACAAAATTTTAATTCTTGCATATAATATTATTCCTTAGGATTAAATAGAGCAAAAACCATGAATCATGAAATTTTTGTTTAGCCTATCAAGAGCCAATGACCATCTCGCGAAAATAAGGTGTCGTGAAAATTTAGTGACTAAGTATTCTTTTAATTTACCTTGACTGACATTTGCGGAAAATTTGTGACAGCATACACAGTTATTAGCCAAAATTAATCTCATGCAGAATAAAGTATGTCTATGAATGAAACTTACTATAGCTACAATTATTGTAAATGCATGGTCATTTATGAACTTAATGACCGGGTTTTTTGACCCTCTATACACATTTCTAAGTTCTTTTTTGCATGGTACTGATAAATTATATTTAGAGACAACAATGATGTGCATAAATTACTACTATGTACAAAAACATAGATATATATATAGGGTTTTTTTTCACAACGATCTATTTTTCCCTTTTCCCTTTCTTTGTGATCATTTTTAATTGGCAAAATATAAAACATTCAGAAATTATGTAGGCTATTAATGTGACATAAAAACATTACCAAACGGATATACTGTAAATCACTTTTTATTCGCGAGAACTTTATTTTCGCGTAATTACGCGAGATGGTATGTTTGGGAAAATTTCATTCTCGCGTATAATAGAAATCTTTGTGATTATATAGAGCAAGGACCACAATTCGTGAAAATTTTGTCTCGCTAATAAAGAGTCAATGACTCTCTCGCAAAAATAAGGTGTCGTGAAAATTAAGTGATCTACAGTATTCATCTGTTGATTTATATGCATGTAGGTAAAATGTTAAGAATGCTGAAAATTTTCATTTCAAACTGAGTAATACATGTATTTATAATAATTGTTGATTTTATTTTAGTGAATTCAAGTGTAATTCATTCTTAAAAATGACACAATCTCACAAAATTAGAACTTTGGGTGCAGTGTTAATTTGTCAATTTCACTATTGACTGTACTTTTCTTAAATTCCATTATTTAATTATTAAAAAAAATAAATTTGAATGAATCTATTTTGTCTTGTATCTCAGACTTCACATTTTGAAAAATCTAAAAAATTAGATGGGTTATTTAAAAATTCTTTTGAAAAAGGGGATGAGGTAATAGTAATTTGATTTAGGTGTACATGCAATTATACTGTAATCAAGAAATTTTGTATATACATGTATAAACGCTGATAAAAGATAAGATCAAAATTTTATGCTACAAGTATCATTTTGCTTAATTAAAAACCCAAGGATTGTGACATATGATCAACAACAAACAGAAAACATCCTGTTTGCCTGTAGAAAGACCAAATGAAATTTTGTGTGGTTCATTTACATCATTGTTGAAAGTCCTTCTCTCTAAAATTCTCTGTTTTGCATAGCAACAGGATGAATATTACTCATTTAATGACACTGTCAATGATGTCTTTGTTTCAGTCATGAATTATACAAAAGTGCTTTTAAATGTGAAGTATTCGTCGTCATCTTAGCTGATGCTGGCACAAGTAAATGTTCTTAACAAATATGAATTATTCAACTGAAATCTTAAAAGTAGACTGCAGACCTGTTCAACTGTGCTGCATTCCTAATGACATCTGATATAAGTCGGTAACTGATGAAATATATGCTGAACTTTCGTTCTGAATTCTTTTGCAGATTCTTATGCAAGGATAATATATATGCTCAGCATGATGCACACATGTACACATTGAAAAAAATATATAATGGAATGTTCTCAATCCTAAGAAAATTACACATATGCTTATACAAGCAAACATGTTATAAAACATTAATTATCTTGTTACATATGTTAAATTACAGTATAGGTACCTCTCTGAGATATATCATAACTTTGAAGAAAAAAATGTACAGTTAATGATAACAAATACCAGATGAAGATGGTAATAATTTAGTAGAAATACTTGCTGAAGACTTTCCTCACAGAAGGATCAGATTATCACAGTCATTAGACAATAATTAGGAAGACGTTTGACCCTGTGCCCAGTTTGGTTCTATAAATAGTTTCGTGACTTCCCCCCTGACTTACCGACAGAGTAGCATGGGGAGAGTGGTGGTGGTGGTGTGGGTCCTCCTCCGTTGCCATGGTGAGATGCATCTTTTCCGGTCCCCCCCTCTAACTGTATCCTTGTCAATGAATTAATCGTTCCCCTTCATTGATAAATGTCTATTGCTACTGTAGATAACAAGCACACCTAATTTGGTACAGTAATGTAATAAGATCCCCCGATCAGCTGATTCCTGCCTCAGTATCTCTGGCTGCCTGTTCAATGCCGGTGAGTCCTCCCCTCTCTCTATCTCAATCTTTCTCTCTCTATTTTGTGAGGTCTGGTTATTATCTGCACAATGATAAAACAGCTTTCACATTATTATGCTATATGTATGTTTTGTATTTTATCTCCCCTTGGAATATTAAATATTAATGGCAGTGTTTTCCCCCAGCTCCTGCTGAATGGGCCTTTTGAGAGCACATACCTAAAGCTAGCAAAAATTGGCCTGGTGTAGAATCTGCCAATAATTAAATAGAAGCAAACTAATGATTCATTTGTTGCTGGATAAATGGTTGGGGTTTTTTTTCTTTAATACAGTGGAGTTCTTTTTGTACAGTTGGAAAATGTGTACTCTGTCCGCTGCATTCTGTTTCAGACATAAAATGATGCTTCAGTTATTTAATTTTCTCTTGGGGAATTGCATTTACTGGTATTCATGTCTGTCTGTTCATAAAGATAATACACTATAATCTGAAACAAATGCGCATTTGAACAATGCCCAGCATCAATCATTCATAAACTAATTTCACTGTGATGGTATGGAAATTGATTTTTGAAAAGTGTTCAAATTTCAGAGAATATTGTTACATTGTAACAGATGCCATTATACTAAAGCTCTGAAAGACCTAACAGCTAGGCATAAAAGTATGATAGATTCATGAATGTATCAAGTAGGGGTGAACATCTATCTACATTTCCATAGTCAAACATTTTTTTTTCGTAGTGTTTTTTGAAGGTAAAATGTACACAATTTCTTTTTAATTATTTTATTCATGAAAGTATGTGGTTAATGAACAAAATGGTAAATTTACATGCCAAGTCACCCAACATCACAAAAAATGCAAGTAACTAAGGTAACCCCCTTTCACCACCACCCCATCCCCACTCATTCATTAAGTCACTGGTGTCTTTTCACATTTCTGTAATTTTTTTTATTGTCAATTATAGGACCAGAATAAGTGCTTATTATAATCCCTTCTTTGAAATAAAATTTCTTTGTAATAAAACTATGTTTAATATATTTTTTACAGCAGCGGCCAACAAACTGAAACTACTGTTGAGTTTTGCTGTAGGGGGACTACTTGGGGATGTTTTTCTACATCTGTTACCAGAGGCCTGGGCAGCTGTTGATAAAGGTAAATACATTGTTATATTCTGTTTTCACCTTTTGATCAAATTTGCTATGAGGTAGATACTATATTCTGGTTTTATCTTTTGACTTTAACCGATAGTTCAAATTTTTAGGAACAAATGTATTAGATAAACTACAGGATAGAGCTGTCTTTATCTATTTGCAAGATGTTCAAATTGATTAGAAGTACATGTAGAGGAATAATTGTTAGACAGTACTATCCAGTACATCTGATTCAGCTTTCAATGCCCAAAAGGTCCTAGCTGTTAAAACTTTACCAGTTACATTACACTTACGGTTCTTGAAAAATCTATCCTAGCTAGGCCTAACCATCAAATGTATGTATAGTTTTGAAAAATTAATAAGAGAGCATACCTTAGAATGTTGTAATGGCTGATCCTTTTATCATTTTAGCACGTTTATGAAATCAATGGTGTTAGTTTGCGGAGGAAAGCAAACATTAGAAGTGATGACAGAGAGAGACCTGTTTCAGTAATTCTCTGTACAGATCAATGCCCTATCATTTTATTGTTCAAGAAACACAATTAGAGAATCAAAACTTTGTAAAGCATGTTGTATAAGAACAATGAGGTCACAAGAACTTTTTTGTAAATAGGAAAGTATAAAGAAGAATTTTTCCCATATTGGCAGTTGCTGAACTTTCCCCTTCGTTATTTGGTTCAGAAGACGTTACTTTCAGGAGCTCATCAGATTCTGAGATACATGTACCTTAATTGGTCTCTGATAGGTTTCAAAGAAAAAATAGTTCTTCACTCTTCAGAATGACTATCACCAAGTAAAGGGACTTAATACTTTGTCTTGAAATTGCTGGAAGTGTTTGGTTTCTCCAAAGGAGTTTACTACCTATCAATTTTACCAAAATTTTCAGTAAATTAAAAAATATGTAATACCTATAAAAATAACTTATGTTTCAGAAACTGCTTTTGTAACATGAACCTCTTGGCTGATATTTCTCTTTTTCTACAGGTGGACAACATGATCATTTTGGACACACAAAGATTGGACTTTGGGTACTAGCAGGAATCCTCTCATTTCTGATCATTGAAAAAGTATTTGCCAAAGAAGGAGAATTTGATCATGTAGGTAAAACAGAAATATCTTCACATGTTAATATTAACATCTTAGTTAGGAGAGATTTTGTTTTTACAGAAAACATTGTATATTGATCTGAATTTGATCTTAATTCCATCTGATAAAGATCCAGTAATTTACCTGTCTCTCTGTTAATCTGTCCATTAAGGTCTGCCAAGTTAAATAAGTGACTTCAAAGATGCTGCTGTTTTAGGTTAAAGAGGATTTAAAACTCTTCTTTCATCCTGGGTTCTTAA